GGCACCCTGACAGAAAGGCTACAAAAACAGGGCTCTTGTACACAGACGCCTATGAACAAAACAAAATCGACTTTTGGTTGACAAGTCAACGTCTAATTTTCAGAAATAATCATGGACAAATACATTCTTTTATGATAATAACGTCTCTTCTAAAAATTTACTTATAACCAAAGATTACAATGTTGACAGACATAAACAAAGTTCACTTTTACATGTTATAAAAATAAACTACAGTGTATAAATTTAATACATCAATCCAAATATTAATTAGCATTCAGTAATAACAAATAGCTGTAAACTCTAATTTTAAATCACTTATCAGTTTACATTTTATGCTGTTTACGTAAATTTGGTTCAAAATCTCTTTGATATAAATACTTATTCACTGGCTCTTCTCGCATACCGGTGCAGTTGTCCAGACTAAAGATGCGAATTAATACGGGTTTAAAATGATACCTTTTGACCAACATTTCCCTTTGGAGCACAGTTTACAGTTGGCTTTACTCACGGCATATATATATTACTTCTCTATTTGTTAATTTCATCCTTAGATTAGTTTATTTCAATATTAAAATGAAGAATAAGGACCGAGACGACCCCGGGAACAAGTCCTGAACCTTTCCCATGATGTCATTCAAGGTCGCACAACGAGTCAGTGGGACATAGGTCTACGAGCTTAAATTTGTCTTGAGCATTGGTACTCCTCAGCCTCTTAAGTTAAAACAGTTCGTCCTGTCTATGCGGGGCTAAAATTAGAATTTCATAGTTAAATCTGTTCAATATTTACCTTTCACTGCTCAAATTACCTCTAATTTCACCGTTCAACTAATAATTGCCGGTGGATTTTGGTCGTCACGTGAATTCCTTAGGTATTTGAGCATAACACTGCCATCAAATCTAGGGCATGCGCGAGGGGAACAATTTTGGCCGCCCGCGCGCCAATTTCCCGCGTAAAATTTTAAGGGAAACATAAGAAACAACCGCGTCTCGCAAACTATGTGACAGACAATTGAAACGTTCAAATCTGTGAAGGGAAACAAAAGTGGGCAGAAGGAAAACTCGAGACTTTTCGAACACAAACCTAATTCAAGTACAGGTATCTTATTGATTTACCATTCCGTTTTGAGATTTACCAAAAATGTTCTAAGCTTGTGAAACACCGTGACTTACTGGCTCATGTGGTTGTTTGTAACTCGTGTGAGACAACTTGGTTCTTACAGCCTGAAAGTACAACACCCAGTCAATACAACGTTTACACACGCGCCGACGCTTGACTGCTGCTCTTCTAGTATGTGTTTTCAAGAATTAGATTACAATCAAACGACAACTCCACTTGTGACGAGTTCACAGGGAACAAACAGCTCACTTGTCCTTATCCTTAGGGAAAGAAGAAATTCCACATTAGCTCAAAAAGAAATTTGCAACAACTTATATTTTCAAATTAAACATAAACGGCCTCGTGAAAACGTTTCGTTTTTTATGTTGTTGTTTTTTTTTTCAACTAACAGTGAGACAAGTACATGTAAAAGGTGTCATAGAAATAATTAAAAATTGCTTTCTACTATGATACACCGCGCGTGGAGCTAAAATTGTGGAGAGGTTTCACGCGAGGAACTCACCACGAACTATCAGCATTACGCATCACATCTGCGTTGTCGTTTGATGGCGATTGTTGCTGGTTGTTTTGATAGAAGTAGGAGCGTCCAACACGGAGAAGCCCGGCACAGAAGAAACGGCCCATTTCCTCCAGTTCTCTTGTTCCCACGTGGTAACCCTTAAAACAAAAATGTAGATTAACGTGTTGATTTTTAGTACTCACTGTCTCAATGACTGACTCACAGCCGACTAACAAACGGATTGACTGGCAGACTCGTTCACTTATTCAGTGACAAAATCACTGCCTGACCTGCTGACTGACAAACTAACTCTGACTACCTGCCTGCCTGATTCACCAAATGACTACCTGACGCACTAACTCTCTGACTGAATTACTGACTCCCTGACTGCCTTACTAACTAACTACTAACTAACTAACTGACTAACTAACAGGCTGATTCACTCAATGAATTACTGACTGATTGAATAACTCACCGACTGACTCACTCAACGACTGACTGACTGACAGACAGACTGGCCCACTGAGAGACTCCCTCACCTACTCATTCACTAACTCAATAACTAACTAACTCACTCCCTGACTGAATGAAAACTTCCTTCTCTCAACTTAAAAACAGAGAGAAATCCGACTCTGACAGTAGTTATAGAGAAGGGTCCAGTTCTTCAAAGGGAGGATAACGTTATCGAACGGATAAGTGTGAATAAAAAATACCGCGCCATCCACTGAACAGAGATTTATCCACGGGATAATATTATCTACCCTTCGAAAAAGCGGGGCCAAAGGTGTTCTAGTTCCACTCAGTAACATTCACAACAGTGTCTGTTCAATTTGTGTTTTTATGTTTTTCACACTAGCTTTATCCAATGAGAACTCACCTTATAAGGTCCCTGATCACAGCCACTGTATGTACTCTCCATGGTATAACTCCTGACCACTCCAATCTCTCTCCACACCACAACTCTGGCCGTGGATTCTTTGGAAGGTTCCACAATGAAACTACAGCTGCCCAGCGAAAACGCTGGTGCAATGTTGTGAAGAACTCGAGGTAATGTCTGCGTAAATAAAAGAAATAGTCAGCTTGGTTCGGAAAAAGTGCTTCCTGAACAGAGTTCCTGGTGATATTTGAAGATGCTTTTTGGATGGGTAAATCTAGCCGCTAATTGCTATAAGATCTTCTCCAAAGAGTAGAAGCAGAGAATAAAAAAGAAGATGCCAAAACATGACGAAGAGGACATAGAAACAAAACGATAATTCAGAAATAAAAATTCTCTTTTAAAAACCAGCCTAGTGTCACTTTTAAGAAAACCACCTATATTGCACAGCTCTTAGTGCCGCTAACACTGTAGAAAGTTTGATAACCTAAAATTCACGAACGCAATTGTAGAGTCTCGCAAGACTATTATTCAAAATTTTCACTCATTATTCTACATTTGATTTCAGTACTCGTTCTCCAGCATCTTTTTCCCCTTGAACTTAGTACCTCCTACTAACCGAATTCGAAGTCCGCACTTAAAGTTACGGATCAAGTTTTTCCACTTGGATTTATGACCCAAGCGCGAAGCGAAACTTTTTAATTTAGCGGGCCGTACAGTGAAGCACACGTACTAACTAGGAGAAATAATGACTTCAGTTCGATGCTAACCGAACACGAGAGTTTGCGATATGATCATCATCCTATGATTCCATTAGTGCGAGAAAGAAAAAACTCGCAGCATATGCAAATATTTACCAATAATTTCGCAAAAGGCTAATACTGAAACAAACAGTAAAGTTTCGCCTAGATCATAAGCCGCTGTTCGGGAAATGAGCCCATGCTCCCTGGGAACAATGAGGACTTCCTTCTCATGAGTATCGAAGACCTGACTTCGATCTTTGCAAAAGTTCAATGCTTACAGGGCGTGTCTCTAGTATCTCTGTCATCTTCCAAGCTCCCAGGAAAAAGGTTTTATCGATAAGTATGTTTTCTTTTACACTCACCCTATATCCGGGATCTTCCTCTATGTCACTCGGGTCCATGCTACTGGTGGATTCGGAGCCAGATAGTTCAGCTACACGTTCCCTGACAGAATCTACCAAGTCACTACTGTCGACTTCACCAGAACTAGACGAACTGGCAGCCAGTGTGGCAGCTGTGCTGCAGCCATACATAAATACGTTCTTCTTGCGTGAATGACCATGGAAGTCACAATAAACCTACAAGAAGAAGAACATGAGGCGGATTTAATCCTGTTACACCCTAACATCAGTATACATATTCTCCACACTGTTCTTTGTATATTTCCTTCCTATGGTGTCGACAAAGAGAATTTGTTTAACAGTCAAGAGCTTCTTTAGTTGGTGATCATTTCCTTTATTCTCGAGGCCTTTATGTGTGAATCGAGAGTGATAACTGTAGAAGAAATTAGATGCTAGTCACTCTAAGGGGTCAGAGAGTTAAGAAGAGCTTCTGTCGAGGGAAAATGTAGCTGATCTGAAAGCAGCTTCGATTTTGCTCAGGAGAGAAAAAAAGAAAATGATGAGTAAGCGCGAGGACCAAATCGCACTTTTTTGTCGACTATGACCTGGGGAGAGGAAGAAATGATTGTTGTGTTCCTCTCATTTATTCAAGATGGTACACCATGTAAGTCATGCAAATTAAATTTTGTCCACGCAGTAAAAGAATGAAACAACACGATCACATAACAGCTCAAAATTGTTTAGTAGCCGGGATTAACACAACTTAGGTTCGGCACAATTGATCTGTCTCACGGCTACAAGCAAATGCTACTCACCAAAGGAGTCTTTTCAATAGACTGTAAGTACAACAGCAATCCTTTCACGTGATAAATAGTGGGGTGAAGTAGCATGCTGGGATTAATCCAGCGCCTGTTTAAATCGTCACCCGACAGAGAACATCGATGGCTGCAAAAAAGGTTCAATAAAATTTTGTAAAGAACAAGGGTAAAATCTTCATAAAAAAAAGTCTTTGTATTTCGTCAAAGGAAACTCTATTTAGTTCTATTAATGAATTAACTTCACGAAAGATTCACAGTATTGTAAGGTTACAGAGCAAGGTTATTTACAGGTATAAAGTTTCTCCTTATGGATCATGAGGAAGTGGGGGATTGAGTGGGTGGGTTGGGTGGGTGGGGAGAATAGCTGACGGTGCCAAAAGAATTGATCGAAAATGCAATACTGAGAAAAATTTCTTACAATACTGCACACATCAGATATCATTCATGGCTAAAAATTCACAAGAAAGACACTGATTCCCTCGTTCAGAATTGTTGTATAAGTGGACGAAATATACATATTAAAAAAATCGTTGAACAATAAAACGGAAGGACAGCGGCTAAATTTCTACAAGACTAAGACCCTACCAGCCATTGATAACTCCGTCAATGTTAAGCATGGGTACAATCTTGAAGATGAAAGTCTCCCGCAGATGACGTGCAGTGTAGAAGTTGCTCATTAAAAAGTCTAGAACTCCTGTATAAGAAAACAATACTGTGTGAGACAAAAAAGTGGAGTAGAGTAGTGCAGTAGAGTCACATATGGCATGAGCTCGCTAACAGATTGAAGTTAATATCAATATTAAGTCTTAAAAAATCTAAAAAGCCAAATAACTAGTCTTGATCTCAGAAGAGGAAGGTACAGCGGTTACACAGTACAAAGAAAAAGTTTCAAGGTGAAGCAAATTTAAAGTACGTTTTGGTAGCGCATTTTTTGGTACGATTAAACTGTGAATCTCCTCTTTAATCGACTCTTTTTGTTCGTATGAATTGCATAATTTTCAATCTTCTAGTATCCGAATGCCATACGGAAACGAGAATTTGGACCCTTATGAACGTTACTTTTTGTCTTTGCAAAAAGCAGTCCGGGATAGTTATCAGATTTGATAACCACGTGACGTCAAAACATGACCATTTCGGGAATCGAAGATTTTCGTACCCAATTCGAAATTTTCGCTGTTTATTTGTTATTAGTCGCCGTATATATCAATAATTATATTGGAAATTAGTGAATAGATACCGCTCTTCGCGTGTTCTCAAGATGGTGGTCATCATGGGGGGATAGAGGCGACATTTTGGGCGCAGAAGTAACTGGACAGTTGAAATGACACGTTTGATTGAGATACCTTTTTCAAAAAGCTTTGCCTCAAAGTTTAGGTTAGAGGATGAATTTTCCAGGAGTCAAAAAAAAAATATCGAGCTGTTCTTAAATCCATTTTCTTTCGACGCAACTGTTCATTATCGCGATGCAAACTGCAGGAAAAGAGTGCATGGGATGGTCTTGGTTTACCACTTAATCAGTCGCCAACCGCCACTTTGTGTTTTCGACGATGGTTTTAATCTTTCTGTTTGTCATAATTTGAACATTGTTGTCTAACTTACGATTTCTTATCACTGCACTTTACTCAGTTTGCAAGGAAACCTTTTTGAAACAATGATAGTTCCTTTCATTGTGCTGTTACTGCCCAGAGAATCCTATTAACCAAAACCAAACTAAATCTTTGTCAAACGAGAGCCCGCTGTCACTTCATGCAAAGGATAAGTTCCTGCTGGATAGTCAACTTGGCTTGAGTACAGATTTAACTTAATCTTAATTGCCACAAGTCAGGAAATGGTCAGGAAAAAAAAGTTCTTCAAGGTGAGGGAATTTCACTCTTAATTGGATATTTTCATTCTCTGTTGGTGTTCCTTGATGACAATAAGTTGGAGTAAGACCAAGCACGTTTGCAAGTGAAGGAGACACATTAATTCTTCACTCTGCTGTGTCGGTAATAGATTGAGTAGCTGATTCACCATTCTGTTCATACATTTCCCCTTGCCTTAAGTATTCCTGGCCCAGAAGAGGTTTCAATCTGCACTTTTGTAATCTACCATTCGATTGCAGCGAGAGATATCTCGGAGAAGTGGAGAGAAGGCTTTCACCGGTCAAATCAGAAATGTAAGAGGAAGGAGTGGATGCGGCCGTGGAGGAACGTTAAGTGAGTAGCAGTATGGATTCTCCAACATCTCGCATGTTTCGAGAAGCTTTTATTAAAAGCAATCCTCCCATTTACACGATTTCGCGCTGGTAATACGCTACGATTTCATCTTTCTTTTCGCCCATGGGCTGTAGCCGTTTGTTATTTGTACGATTCTCTAAAGAAGTAGCAGCATCATTGAAAATAAACTTTTTTCTTCTGCACAGATTTATAGTTGGAACGTACCGAGACGAGCGCTGAAAAACCTGGGCACTTCGCCGTCCGCCAAGTAAGTAAAATAAGACGAATGAAAATTATTGAGACTGAGAAAGAAGAAGACGACACTAGTCGAAAACAATCGGTTTAAAACACTCAGTGTTGTTCGGCCTTCGGACGCCATTAGCAGGTAATTTAGTGTTAACAACTGGGTTGAAAACGTAAATTAGCCACCGTAAAGGGTAAAAAAGCTGACGTTTCGCTCTGACGAAGGGCTAACGCTTGAAACGTCAGCTTTTTTACCCTTTACGGTGGCTAATTTACGTTTTCAACCCAGTTGTTAACACTAAATTACCTGCTATATTCTCCCACCGACGCAGCACCACAGTTTCTTTAGAAACTTACCCCTTTATTAGGACGCCATGTTGAATACATTATTGTTGTCTCAGTAACATGTCACGTGTCGGGTTATTAAATTTGATAACTATCCCGAACTGAACAATCAATTTATTTCACTTCGGTCATTTTAAGGCAGGGTTTCGATAACTTTTTCTGTAATCGACTGCCGATGTTTTTATGGGCTGCTGTGCCTGTAAAGGGCCCGTTACAGCGGTAAGAGGTCTTATACGCGGCGATAAATCGAAGGTTTTATTAAAACCATTGTTTGAAGGATTTGACATTATAATAATAAAAAAGATAACACATAATGAATGTATTTCACCATAAGAAGATCGCGTTACCTTTCATGACCCAACTTGAATTACTTTCGCCGGGATGAACACGGCTTGTGAGGAAAATATATGGCCTGTTCCCTAAAACGTATAGAGTAAAGATCGTGCCTTTAAAAACAACTCCTAAAATTTTGTCCAACACAAGGAACGGCGCAAATCACTTACTCAGAAGTTCAATGGATTTTGCATCTCTGTCCCGAGGCTGTGCCGTGATGGTGATGACGTCACAAGGATTTCCCGCCAAAGTGCTGCACAGAGTCAAGCGGCGGTAAAAGATATCGTTTGTACTAAAACCGGACTCCAAGCGTGATAAGTGACTCTACATAAAAAGAGTAAGGTACCCAAAACGGAATATCATTTTCTAGTCTTGATTTCTTTGAGGTGAAGGAAGGATATAAAGAGTCTTACGGCTAGATTTACAAAAAACGTTTTTAAGGCGAAATTCAACACTTCTCCGTGGTTACTTAAAAACACATCGGCACAAACACACCGGCACAAACACACATAAACTACGATAAAATGTGTTCTAATATCTATGATGGCAGATTCACGGATTAAACCGAAGAAGTCTCTCAAACTTTGTTAAAACATTTTGTCAAAGAGATGCGATTAGACGACTAACATTTCATTCAATAAGCAACATCCTGTTAATAAAAAAACATTCTAGATTTTTTAAGTGAAGTTTTTCAGATGTTAATCCGGCCTTATATTTCATGGAAAACTAACTGAAAGATTTCCGAACTTCTTCAAAAACTCCCGACACTGTACAAACCTCGACACAGAAAGATGACAACGTAACATGGGAAGACCTACCTGAAGCATAGTGAAGGTGTAGGGATAGTGATAAGCGAAGTAACATGTATCATTTGTGTGAGGGAAGGTCACGGTGAAAGTTGACGTGTAGTAGGTTTTGCCGGTCGGTCCACCAGTCACCTCACGGCTCCGTGTGAAGTAATTTCTATAATAACAAACATTAGTCCCGACTCGAACCCAGCCGACGCGGTCTTCCTGAGCTTCTAATGTGGAATACATCACTGGTTGCATACCTACAATAGCGAACAAAGTATTGGGTTACCAAGACCATTTCCTTGAGGAACCATGCATATGTCATCCCGACTATGGAATCGTACTAAGTCTTAAAAAAGGTTTGTAGCCTGCAAGAACAGAATCACGTCCCCAAAAATCATCTTCAAGTTACAAAGCAATTTTCAAATTCCGGATTGCTGAGGTTTACTTTACGTCGCTCTGTGACGCTTGCTTGCGCTATCCTCTAAACCAATCAGATTCAAAACTAAAACCAACCACGACTAAGTCACCCGCGTTTTCCCGCGCTTTAAGCCGTTTGTCCATTTTGACTCTGCGTTCTCATTGGCTCCTTGTTACATTTTCCTTTCCTCTGATTAGCTTTTGCGGTTACTTTGGTTTTCGTTTCGACAATAAATCGAAATGCGCTCTCCATAATTTAAGAAACATCTTAAGCTTTCTGAGTACTTGGTGAGTTTTGCAACCCCAGCGAGCACCGATTTTTTGGTCGGATGGCCTTCTGACTGCGATACACCGGCCAACGTACGCCAACTTCCCGCCAAAGTTTGAAGAAAACATAAGAAACAATCAGTGTCATGAAAAGCCTACACGAATAAATGGAAATTCTATTACTCATAAAAACCAACTTACCAAAGTTGAACTGACTATTGATCTTCTCACAATTAACGATGTTGAATTTGTAAGGAATATCAGCATCCATATTGCTAACCTGAAATGAAGAGAAACGCACAGACTTGAAGGGCCAATATCCACAATTGTAATCCATCAAATATTTTTTCTCGCGCGCGATTGGTCTAAATGGGTCATGCGACCGAATACGCTCCGGCTAAGACTGAGGAATATCCGGTGATATTCCCCTAGTGATATTAACCAATTTTCAAACCCTACGTCCACTACGATAAAAGTCTTCGTGTCAGAATTAAGTCAAGGTCAGAGGGCGTTTAACTGTTGTAACAGAATAACACGCATGTTTTTGTGCTCATAAAGCCTTGCCAGAGAACACTGGAAAGTAAACATCCCACGTAATAAACGGTAAGCTGTTCGTAAACAATTTTCCCTGCGCGTAGCCTCCAGTTGGCGCTAAAATATGCTCGTATAATTTTCCTTGGATATTATCCGTTCCTCGTAGACTCACTTCTTGCATCTCGTAACAGATGTCTGTGGACAAATATTCAAGTAGATTTTTGCGCCAAATAGAGGCTATTGATTATTTAACCTTCTAAGGCATTGTGTCTTTCTTAACAACTCCCATCACCTATCTATAGGGAAGGACCATTAGCGATAGTTTTAATGAAGATAGCGAGCCAAGTAAAGAAAAAAAAGAACATCACAGACGGCTCAGCCCTGACAAGAATTCCCCAGCGGCATAAACTTCATACAATAAATATTACCGACAAAATTATACAGAAAAAAATGTACCGGATACCAAGTGAAAGTTCTGCACACCCACCCTCTCCCTTCACTTATTAATGGTCCGTCCGACTAAGTTTATCTATTTTCATACCGAAGATCCGAGTGCTGTAACTACATGAAAGTAGAATTCGAAAGATGCTAAGCTTTGAGCCCAGTAAAGAAATAGAAAAAGATGTTTTTTCGTCTTGTGTAGGGCAAAGAAAAAAATTCTGAATCCCCACGAGTAATCGACCTACTGCTAGGATCAGCATCCGCATATTGCTAGGATTTCTATCTCTTTGCCGAGCTCAAAACTTGCTATCTTTCTTATTCTATTTACAAAACATGACGCTAACCACATTGCTGATCCTAACAATATGTAGGACGCGTGTCATATATGAACTTCGTTATGGGCCTTGCTCACCACAGAGTCTCTGTGGCTCAGTGGTAGAGCATCGGAGCACGGAATCCGAAGGTCTAAGGTTCGATTCCTTACAGGGACTCGGACTACTATCTTTGTCCCACGCTCGTGACAAAACGAAAAAACATCTTCCTCTACATGGAACTGTTAGTTGTGTCTTACGCGATGAAAAGAGGGCAAGAACCCACCTCAAAATAAAACCACTGATGATGGTGTTTACAGTTGATATCAGGATTTAGAACCAGATCATACTCATAATCCCGCACCTACGAAATAAGATGTGTTGAAAAAGGCAAGTATGTTCGATCATTCATAGGCTAGTTCATTACTTCTTAACATTCACATGGTTAAACGAACAAATGAATCTCT